GGCAGGGTATGGGTGCCCTGTAAGGCGTCCGTGGTGCTCCCCGCAGAGGCAGCTTTGTCATCTCCAGGCAGCAGCTCTCAGGGTGCAGTCCCTGGGCCAGCAGCAGCATTGGGATACCTGGGGAAATGCGAGTCTCAGACCCCATCCAGACCCCTGAGGCAGCCACTTGGGGTGTTTGACCATCTGTGCTTTAACCTTCATGGAGGGGGATGCTGATGCCAGGCAGGCAGAGAACCAGAGCCCAGAACCCCTGCCCTGTGGCCAGAAAGGGTGCGGAGGCTCTTCCTCCAGTTGAGGGAAGTGAGAGCCGGGCATGCACTGGCCTCTGGGACAGCCCTGCATCTTACTCCTGGGTTCTTTGTCCTGCATTCCTCCCTGCCGGTCTCCTCCTTCCTTCTTCCCCGTATCTCCCACCTGCATGCTCTCCATCCCATCTCCCATCCCAGGGGCCCCGTTTGCCCCTCAAGCATCTACATCAGGCAGACCCACTGCAGCCTGTGCAGGAGCCAGGCCCCTCTGAGCTTGCCTCCCTGTCCTCCTGCTCCTTCACAAGCCCTCAGGCCTCCTGTCTTGGGGCTGATCTCCTATCTCCAGGCAGGGGCTCTGGCAGGCTCTGCCATTGGCGGGCAGGAAGAGCGTCTGTAAGGAGTTTGGATATGCAGATTCCCACACCCGCCTGACATTCTAGGTCCCAGGCTGGGGTGTAGGGGCATCTAGGGAGCCAAGTTGTTGCCTTGAAGTCCAGATGCCCCTGGTGCAGGTGGCTTGTGGACCCTGCCTGGAGAAACAGTAACTTGGGGGCCCATTTCCACTTCTGCTCTAGAGGCCTCCTCTCCTCTGCATAACCATGGGAAGCCCCCTGTCCCTCATGCACTGGAATCACTAGGGAGCTTTAAAAACTACTGAGGAGGCCGGGTGCGGTGGCCCACGCCTGTAATCCCAGCACTTTGGGAGCCCGAGGTGGGAGGATCACTTGAGCTCAGGAGTTCGAAACCAACTTGGGCAATGTGGCAAAACCCCATCTCTACAAAAAATAAAAAAATTAGCCAGGCATGGTGGTGCGCCCCTCTAGTCCCAGCTCCTTGGGAGGCTGAGGTGGGAGCATCACCTGAGCCTAGGAGGCAGAGGTTGCAGTGAGCTGAGATCCTGTCACTGCACTCCAGTCTTGGCAACAGACTGAGACCTTGTCTTGAAACCACTGAAGCCAGCTGGCAACCCCCCCACCTCCTCCTTTTCTGACATCATTGGTTGGGGGTGTGGCCTGGGCAGTCAGTGGTGGCTTAGAAAGCTGCCCAGGTTGGTTTGTATTGGAGGCAAAGGTGGAGGTGGGCGGTCAGGTGCTGGATGAAGCCCTTCTGATCGACGGCCTCACCCAGCGGGTGGAAACCAGGACACCTTCATCCCTCACCTTCCTCCCTTCCCACTGCCTCCAGGCACCCACCACAGAGAGGAGAGCAGACTCTGGGGATGAAGCCAGGCCTTGACTCACAAGGCCCAGCCCATAGGGAGGACAGGGCCCTTACCCCACTACCCCACGTGTAGTCCTCTGGGTGGGGTATTCATCTACCGCCCTGGCCTGTGCACATAGCCTGCATCTCCCATCTGGATTAGATCAGCAGCCCACTGGCTCCACACTGGCTCTGCCCTGCTGCCAGTGGCTACTTCCCAGGCCCTTGCCACACGGGCCACCTCTACTTTCTGGGAATACACAGGCATTGTCTCTGCCTCAGAGACTTGGCACCTGCTCTTCTGTCTGGAATGCTCACGCCAGCCACGCAGAGGTTTTGTTTAAAATATCTCCTCCGCCGCGGGCCCTCCTGACCCCTGTCTTAATGCTTGTCAGTTTCTCGCCACCATGTTGTCTGACTTGCCCCCAGGGATGTGACAGCTTTCATGATGGTAGCGACCGTCCTCTTCATGCATCACCAACCCCCAGCCAAGCACAGGGCCTGACACATAGTAGGTGCTCAGTTAATGCATCAACTCCTTGAGGACAGAGAAGGAGCTTGACCATGGGAGGCGACAGGGGCCGCCCAAGGGTGTGCGACTCCCTCGGTGTTGGCAGGTGTGGGCACATGTGGTGAGGAAGAGCATATGGCAGAGACAAGGGCCAAATGTGGGTGGGTACTCAGGGCCCGTGAGTCTTCTTGGAATGGACAGGGGATGAGGAGCCTGAGGAGGGACAGTCAGGGAGATGGAAACCTGGTGTGGTTTCCACGTCCCAGAGGAGGGGTGTCCCAAAGGGGTAGGCCCTACCCTAAGCTGCCGAAAGCTCAGGGGACACATCCTGAAACGGTCCCTGGGGCAGTGACCATCCTAGGGGACCAGCCAGGACCACCCAGCACCTGGGAGATGAAGCAGGGACTTGGGCCAGGCAGGGACCATGTTTATGTGTTGAGAGGAGCTGGCTGTGGCTAAGGACACAGGAACAGGGATTGGTGCTCGAGTCCTTACCGGTGTGTGACTTTCTCAAGCAGTGCTTAGGCTGCCTGAGGCGCTGCAGCCAAGGAGGCAAGTGGTCCAGGCTTGTGGATGGAGCAGAAGGATGGGGCCCGAATGTAGATGGCGCTGAGCAATTGGAGAGCAGGTGTTCAGGAGTGAAAAAAACCCAGCCAGGCTGACGTTGTGGTCAAGAATCCATATGACAGGAATCCCTGACCCCAGAGGCTGTCCCCTCTGGTCTTGCCCTTGCCATCCCGAGTCCCTCCCGTGGTGTCCCGTGAGTGGGTGTTCGCTTGTACCTGTGCTGAGTGTGTCACAGAGTGGGTGCAGGGACACCTGCCAGTTTCACACCACCATCTGGAGCGCTTGCAGAGGCCCTGGCAGTCCCGACCTGGCCGCGCTGCTCCGCTGCTTGTTCTCTGAGCTACGATCCCAGTTCGCTCCACGTGGGCCTGGTCCTGCAGTCTTGGTGCTCTGGGTTCTCCCTTTGTCCAGGGCCCCAGAGCTGAGTCTCTTAGCCCCATGGAGTTTTATTAGAAATACGGGTCTAGAGGATCTGATTTTGGTTTTGTTCGTCAGGAAAGAGAGTGCCCCATGCAGAACTAACTGCATGTCATTTCTGTAGCTGCTACGTCAGGGCCATTCCTTAAGTGTGGGCTGGGCGTCCTGACTTCCTTCCGCGGAGGGCAGTGTGGAAAGGGGTGGGAGTCACTTTACAGCGAAGAAACCTGGCAAACTGACTGCCTCGGCCGAGTGATCAGGGTCAGCACCAGCAGCCATAAGTCACGTTGACGGCCTGTGCCCTTGACATAGTGTGATGAGAAGGGCACTCCAGCTGTGCTCTTCTGCACCAACACCCTCAGCCCCACTCCAGGCATGACAGAGACTCCATCAAACCCGATGGAGAGTCTACGGAATATCCGACCAGTCCTCAAAACCGTCAAGGTCACGAGAAACAAGAAACTGTCGTAGTCGAGAGGAGCCTGAGGGAATGTGACTACTAAGTGTCACATGGGATCCTGGATGAGGTCCTGGGGCAGGAAAAAACCTGAGGGAAAGACTAAGGAAGCGGATGGGGCATGGACCAGAGTTAATGGGAATGTTCATCATCACCAGCATTCCATACTCACACGCGGTGGTACCGATAGGGAAACTGGGAGGGAGCCGTATGGGAACTTGGTATTATCCTTGTAATTTTTCTGTAAACCTAAAACTGTTCTGAAAAATAAAATTCATTTTAAAAAGAAAGTGGTAAATCTGGGTTAGGCTCTCTGCTGGATTTGTAATCTTGCTGTCGGTGAGATGGGTCTGGATGCCCCGGCCCAGCTGCAAAGAGGATCTCTGCCGCAGTGGGGCTCCAGGCCTCCTCTTCGGTGACCTGCTCATTGTGGTGCTCTGCCGGCTGGGGGAATGGAGCAGTGCTGGGTGAGGCTCCGGCCCAAAGCAGGTGCTCAGCAGCCTTGCAAGTGCATGGATATGCTGGGGGGAGGCGGGGATTGCGCTCTTCCCTGGGCCTCCTCACTTCCCCTTTAGTGAGAGCGTTTAGCCAAATGTCCTGTGAAGCTCCTTCTGAACCCTGACCTCAGAGGCTGTCTCCTCTGGTCCTGCGCTTGCCATCCCGAGTCCCTCTCGTGGTGTCCAGTGAGTGGGTGTTCACTTGTACCTGGCTGAGTGTTTCACAAAGGGGGTGCAGGGACATCTGCCCGTGACCTTGGTTCTCCCCTACTGTCCGGTAGGGCTGGGGATTCTCAGCCCCTGGCCTCTCCTTGGGCTCTCCGTCCTCTTCTGCCCCACAGCAGGGTCGGGCTGGTCTCAGGCTTGGGAAGGTAAATGGAACTGGTGCTGGGTGGTGCCAGCAGACCCTCCTGCTTTGGACAAGGAAGTGGTAGAGAAACAGAAGTGACACAAAGTGGGGTCCACCAGCCTGTCCACTGCCATGGTCTTCCTTTTTCTCACCACCCAGGTCCACAGAGTGGCTGGCAGCCACGGGACTGGTCATTCAGAAAGATGCTGTCAGTAGCACAGTATTTTTTAAAAATATTCCATTTTAAATAACTTTTGGGGTTATTTTAATTACAAAAATAAAACCTCTTGGCCAGGCGTAGTGACCCACATCTGTAATCCCAACACTTTGGGAGGCCGAGGTGGGAGGATTGCTTGAGCCCAAAAGTTTTAGAACAGTTTGGGCAACATAGTGAGACCCCATCTCTACAAATAATTTTAGCAATTAGCTTGGGCCTGCCGGAGTGGGCCTGTAGTCCCAGATACTCTGGAGGCTGAGGTGGGAGGCTCTAGCCCAAGGATCTGAGGTGGCAGTGAGCTGTGATCACAGTGCTGGACTCTACCCTGGGTGACAGAGCAAGATCCTATCTCCAAAAAAAAAAAAAAAAGTAACCTGTGTCCATTGCAGAAAATGTACGTGTTTGCCAAAGTAAGAAAGTTTGCTAGCACCTGTAATCGCATATCCCAAAGGCCTGGCAGGTAAAGTACTTCCCGACCTCCCTGTCCCTCACTCGCAGACGGTCGGCTTACCAATGTCCTTGTGTTCTCCCGCACAGGACACAGCTTGGGCTATGGCTTTGTGAACTACGTGACCGCAAAGGATGCAGAGAGAGCAATCAACACGCTGAACGGCTTGAGGCTCCAGTCAAAAACCATTAAGGTAAAACCATTAAGGATCTGATCGTCACCGCATCCATTCCTGCCCTAGACACAGGTCTGTGCTGAGCCCCATCCAGCCTCACAGTCACTCTCCAAGGGACTGTGAGCATAGCCACTCCTCCTCGGGGGCTCCCATCAGATACCCTGGTCAGGTGGTGACCCTCCCAGGCCTTACATGGGTGGTTCAGGGCCAACTCCCCACCCAGGGTGCCCCCAGGTTGCATCAGCTCCCAGGCCTCCCCTGTCGTCTCTCCTGCCTGACTTGCTGTGTTCTCATCCCTGGACAGCTCCATCCACTCCCAACTTGCCCAGCGCTCCCTCTGTGCTCCCTGGGGCCAGTTGTAACCCTTCTCTCACCCAGCACCTCACTCAGCACCTACCGTGTGCCCCACAGTGACCAAAACAGACAAACTCAGTGCCCCCATGGGTCGGGGGTAGACAGTAAACAAGACAGAGGATAGCCATGTGTGACAGGCGGTTGCCGTGTGTGGAAGCTTCACAGTGGCAGGTGACTAGAGGAAGCCAACTGTGCAGCAACCCAGGGGTGGCACCTCCAGCAGGGCCATGGTGGCTTCCTGGGACGAGTCACAGGTCCTCCAGGTCACACAGATGGATTTCCTCTGTCTTCATCATCTGACCCATGCCCTCGTGCCCTGGGGCTGTCAACCCCGAACCCCACTTAACCCCCATCTGCACGTGTCTGCCTTCTGGCTCCTGGGTTCGTGGGCAGCTCCTGCCATCTGGATCAAGCCTCGTGTCTTTCTGACCTTTGCTCCCTGGTCTCCTGTCAGTCCTGGGTGCTGCTGAGCCTTTCCTAAGCCTCCCGTGTCCCAGGCAGGCCCCTGCAACCGAGCTTCCTGCAGCAGCCACTGCACCCACCCGCCCTCAGTGCCGGCCTTCACAGGGTACCCACAGACGTGAGAGCTTGCTGGCCAGTATCCTCTCTTGCTCCAAGGCCATTTGGAATGAGGTGGTCCTATGTGAGCCTTTAGATCTGCTAGATGCTCCTGCCCCAGAGAAAGGTGCTCCCTGAGTCACATCGGTCGCCCAGAAGGGTCCCTCTTGGACCCGCACCAATGATCAGGGCCCCTGGGGAGCTGTGAAATATAGATTCCTAGGCTGCGGGGGGGCTCCTGGGTCACTGCAGGGTCGGCCTGGGAGCCTGGGTTTTTGCCTGCCCACCAAGAGGGGTCCTGTGACCTGGCAGTGGCAGCACCTTCAGCCAAGAGGTGGCCTTTGTCCCTGCCTTCAGACTGCCCCGTGATCTTGGTTACTCAGGGGCCAAACCCTCGCTCAACAGCAGCTCTTCCAGACCTGCCCTGTGCTACATGGGCGTTGTGTGCAGTGGGCTCCCCGAGGGCAGGCGTGCCACTCCTGCATCCTCATATCCAGCGCAGGTCCTCAGAGGTGCCTTCCCTGGTGGGGGCTGCTGAGGGCAGCCAAGCGCCATGGGTTTCCACCTGAGCAGGGGCGGCCCTTCCGGAATCACCTCCAGCCCTGGGTGGCTTATCCTTGGCCCTGGACTCCCCATCTAGGAATTCTTTTCTCCATTTAGAAAATGTTTGAAGGTTCTTGTTTCTGAGGCAGTCCAGCCAGGCGGAGGTGTGGAGCAGAACAGTTGATTATTCCTGCGCAGCTGTTCTGTTTACTCAAATGCAAGAGCCGGGTGCCCAGTGTGTAAACAGGACTCTCTTGCCTCTCTAGGATTGATGTTGGTGGGAAAGGCTGGTGTGGTGCTTGAGTTTGGAGCCAGAGCCTCACAGAACACCAGGGGCTCAGGCCTGGGCAGGTGTCCCTCCCCGTCATCCCGGCCATGCGTGCAGAAGCCTACCTCACCTTCGGCGGCCCTGCCCTCTGCCGGCAGTCTGATTCTCAGTGGCTTCCCACCACTGTCCTAGTTCTGCAGAAACAGGCCAGCCTCATGGGGATGTGACAGCCCTCAGTAATTTCTCCCCAGGTCTCCCCGAGGCTGCCTGGGCCTGGCTTCTCTAGCAGTTCCCCTGGCGCAGCCCTGGGGTCCTCTGTGCTCCAAGTGTGTTCATTCTGCAAACCTTTATTGAGCCCCTGGCCAGTGTCTGGTGCTGGTCCAGGTACCTCAATACTGAGGGACTTCGGATCCCCTGCCCTCCCCAGTTTAAGGGTGGTTCATCTGTGCAGCGTCATAAGGGCCTGGATGGAGTTGTGCGTTCAACTCATCCTGGATTTTTTTTTTTCCATGTTGGTCTGATGCCACCTGGTTCCTGCAGTTCTGTTCTGACACCAGTCACCCAGAGTTAGCACAGCCCCCACACATTTAAGGCCATAGTCTCCAACGAGACTGCCCTCACCTCAGATGCCAGTCACCCTTTGGGGGTCCCCAGGCCCCTGCACTTCTGACCAACTGGCTACAAATTCAGAGGTTCCCGCCACCCCTTCAGGGTGCATGACTCACTAGAATGACTCCTGGAACCCACGCTTCTGATGACAGTTTGTTTATAAAGGTTGCAACTCAGGGCATGCCAAATGAAGAGCCACACAGGAAGGGTCCCAAGCACAGAGCTCACATGTCTGCACCTGGTGGGATCAGGTGCCTTGTCCTCCCTGCATGTGACCTGCGCACCTGCCGGGAGGCTCCATATAGCTTTGGTGTCTGGCATTTTTACTGGGCTCATTACGAATGCATGACCGATTGACTCTTCGGCCATGTGATGGAACTCCATCCCCAGCACCCCTTTCCCCTCCCCCACCCTGGAGGTCAGGCCGGTATCGCCCAGCTCAGAGCCCCAGCCCTCTAGTCACATGCTTGGTCTTTCTGGTGCTGGGGCCTATACTGAGCCATCACTTAGCACAAACTCAAGTGGGATCGAAGGCCTCACGGTAACAAAGACAGAAATTCCAGAAGTTTTACATACTCTCTCCTAAGAATCTGGGACAGAGACCAGACAAATCCTTTATGGCGGACAATATGGGCTGGGGCCAAGCCTTCTGCCAGGGGCTGGGGGTCCCTGCCCCGTGGTCCGCCCTCGGGGAGCCCAGCGGTGCCCGCTATTCACTGTAAGGTGGTCCCAGGGTGGGCTCAGGAGCCTATAATAGTGGCCAGTGCCAGAGGAGGCTCCTTCGAGAAAGCCAGAGTTGAGATCTGGAGGAGGAGAGGGAGTTAGCCAGGCCAGGGTGGGGATGAGGGTATTCTGAGCAGCAGGACCTACAGGGGCACAAGGCAAGGGCCACATCCTAGAGGAAACCCAGTGGTCAGGCACATCCTGGGAACTGCAGGCTGGCCCCAAGCCTCTGCCCCACTCCTGCCCTGCAGGCAGGGCCTCCTGGAGCCTTGTGCTCACCCTGGGCTCTGAGGCCCCAGCCCTGCACAGACAGCCGAGACATGCCCTTACTTGCACCCTGTCTGCTCTGTCCTCTTTGGTCCTGATGTCATTCCCTTGATGGCAGAGTGGAGAGGGAGGAGTCCTGTCTCCTCATCCCTATCTGTCTTTTCCCTGTAGTAGCAGCCCAAGCAGCCACAGTGGGAGTGGTCCTGCATGGAGGCGACCGGCTGAGCATGTCCCAGATGCAGCTCGGTGTCCCTGCCGGGACGCCGCACAGTCTCTGTGTGCAGCTCTGCGTCACTGCCGGGTCCCCGTATGCCACACACAGCCGGTGTTTACCAAAGGCTGACGGGAGGCCAGACCTTCCATCCCGTGTCTCACGTGCCCTCTCCACAGCCCCATAGAAAATGGTCCCCAGATTTGGGTTGAAGAAGCTGATGTTTCCAGTTGTGAAAGAGCTCTGCCAAGGTCACGGAGGGATGGAGGGGCAAAGCCAGGGTGTGAAACCAGGTGTTCTGTGTGGCTACAGGCACTTAACGTCACCTGGAGGCTTCCCTAGCACATTGTGAGAACCAAGCCTCAGGAACCAGAACAGCAAAACTCCTGTCACCCACAGAAGCCAGCACTGGGGACTGCAGTGCAGATAGGCAGACATTCTTCACAGCAGCGGCAACTGCGCACTCCATTCACACAGCAGCAGTCCCCAGATGCTTACCGTTCACCAGAGGCTGCTCTGAGTGCTTTGGATGTGGCAGGAAACACACAAGTCTGGCCCTCACAGAGTCTGTTTGCAAAGTTAAAAGTTAAATAAATAAAGTAGATGCCAGGCAGGGTGGCACATGCCTGTAATCCAAGCCATTTGGGAGGCTGGGGCAGGAGGATCACTTGAGCCCAGGAGTTCAAGTGTAACCTGAGCAACATAGCGAGACCCTGTCTCTACAAAAAAAGCTTAAAAAGTAAATAAAATATGTAGCGTGTCAGGTCATGATCAACGCAGTCAAGAAGTAAATAGGGAGAGGAGGAACTGGGCATTGATGCCAATGGAGGGATCTGTGGCAAGCTGAGTGGTCAGGAGTTTGCTCAGCTGCCATGACAAAGCCCCACAGGCCAGGTTGCTTCAACAGAAGAAGAGTATTGACTCAGGGTTCTGGAGACTGGAAGCCCAAGACCACGGTGTCAGCAGGGTTGGTTTCTCTCGAAGGCACTGGGTAGGGATCTGTCCAAGAGGCCTCTCTCACAGCTTCTGGTGGAAGCTGGCGGTCTCTGGCGTTCCTTGGCTTAGAGAAGCATCACCCCAGTCTCTGCGTCTGTCTTCACACAGCCTTCTCCCTGTGTGAGTGCCTGTATCCACATTTCCTGCCTTTCTAAATTGAATTTAATTTTTCAAAAAAAAAAAGCTTTTTTTTTTTTTTTTTTTTTTTTTTAAGGGCCTCACTCAGTCACCCAGGCTGGACTGCAGTGGTGTGATCACGGCTCACTGCAGCCTCAAACTCCTGCACTAAGGCGATCCTCCCACCTTAGCCTCCTGCGTAGCTGGGACTAGAGGTGTGTGCCACCACGACCAGCTAATTTTATTTTTTGTAGAGATGGGTTCTTGCCATGTTGCCTGGGTTGGTCTTGAACTTCTGTGTTCAAGCGATCCTCCCACCTCAGCCTCCCAAAACAGTGGGATTACTGGCCTGTGCCACCACGCCTGGCCTAAATTTCCCTTTTTTATAAGGACATCAGTCACATTTGATTAGAGATCACCCTATACCAGTGTGACCTCATCTTAACTGATTATACCCCCAATGACTGTATCCAAATCAGGTCACGTTTTGAGGTCCCAAGGGGTTAGGACTTCGGCTATGAATTTGGATTGTGGGGTGGGGGGAACACGATTGAACCCCTCACTGGATGAATTATTGAGCATTGGCAGCCAGAAAAAGACCCGATTGAGGCCAAAGAGCAAGCGATGTTGGGAGCTTAGGAAAGAGGATTCTGGCCGAGGGGCCGGGGATCCCCAGGTCAGTGCACGCCTGCTCTGCACCAGCTGCTCTGATTCTGGCCTGACTGAATGTGACCATGTCCAGAGAGAAGAGGAAAGCGGAGTTCCCATGGTCCTTGGAGACACCTGTCCTTGGGAGGCATCAGAGCTTTCCCCAGCACTTGGCTCTAGGGCGCTTCTCCTCTGGGGCTTCATCCAGGGACAGCAGTAGGTCCAGTCAGTGACAGCCTCAGCTCTGCTCCACCGGCACCAGGGTCACGGTTTGGCAGGTCCCCAAATACTGCCCCAGTCCAGATGGGTCTGCAGCAAGCCAGGGCAGGCCCGGACACTGTAGGGGAGGCTGGGGGCCCAGGCAGCCTCTTTTTCTCTGGGGACAGCACTGGCAGCCCCTGACCCACATTGTGGGGTGGCCAAGTGTCCCCAGAGCTCCTGCCCACAGGCTGATGGAGGTGCCCCGGGCCTGGGAGCAGCACGGCTTCCCCAGAGACCTCTTGGGCCCCGTAGTGACATGCTCCCTCGATTCCCACCGCTACCGGGTGGAGCTGGCCTCTAGTCCCACACTCCTCTCCTCATGGGGCTCTCCTGTTCCCCTGCTGGGCTGCCCGCTGCCCTGTGAGCAGGGGCAATGTCTGTCGTTCCTTCTCTGGGACATGATAGGAGCTTCTCAGAGGATGCTGTGTGTGTGTTCTCGGCACACAGATTCTGCCCAGTGACTCCTGAGTGGCGGTTTCTCCCTGCGTTCTGGTCTCAGTTACCTTGGCTCATCAGTTCTGTGCCCCTCCCTCAAAGGGAACGAACTTCCTTTTGCACAGGTTCAAGTCCCCACCCTTCCCGGGCACACAGCTCCTGCTCCCTCTGTTCCTGCTCCCTCCGTTCCTGCTCCCTCCGCTCCTGCTCCCTCCGCTCCTGCTCCCTCTGCTCCTGCTCCCTCTGCTCCTGCTCCCTCTGCTCCTGCTCACTCCTCCATATCCCAGCCTGCTGATGAGGCTGTGAGTCCTGCCAGGCTGCCCCTTCACAGGCAGAGGGGTTCTGCCGTGGTCCTTTTTTTTTTTTTTGAGACGGAGTCTCACTCTGTCCCGCTGGCTGGAGTGCAGTGGCGCGATCTCAACTCACTGCAAGCTCCGCCTCCCAGGTTCACACCACTCTCCTGCCTCAGCCTCCCCAAGTAGCTGGGACTACAGGCCCCCGCCACCGCGCCCAGCTAAAATTTTTTTGTATTTTTAGTAGAGATGGGGTTTCACTGTGGTCTCGGTCTCCTGACCTTGTGATCCGCCCGCCTCGGCCTCCCAAAGTGCTGGGATTACAGCGTGAGCCACCGTGCCCGGCCCCGCCATGGTCCTTTTTCTCCTTCTGGGCCCGTGGGGTCTGCACGGCTGTCAGCGCCAACCTGAGAAAGCACTGAAGGCCTTGTCTTGCATCGGCCTGCGGGCTCCCCTCACTGCCCTCTCCACATGAATGATGAATGTACCATTTTGACAAAGTACCCAGAAGGTTCTCTTCAGTTTTCTTTGATTTTGCAAAATAAAAATCCAAAAGGTGTTGAGTCATTTAATATTGAATGCTTGAGTGGATTTGAGTACAAACTTGGGGTCCTCCATCAGGGCTTCCGTGGCAAGCTTGCTCTTTGGCAGGGGCGTCTCGTGGAGTCTCGTGCATTCCCAGTAGCTCCCAGCTTGCTTGCCCGCTGCAGCACGGACTTCTTTCGGGCACCAGGACCTATCTCTGGCACTGGCTCATTGTCCAGCACATCAGAGAGGTAGCCACCCACAAGCGTCAGGCCCTCAGTTGCTGGGCTTTGTGACATAGGAGTCACACTTGCCTCTTTGAGGATGGTGAGCACCCAGTGAGGAAGCGCTGCCAGGCACCCCGGCTCACGGCCCATCGCGCAGTGAGCTTGCCACCATGCGGCTGCAGGTGGTGAGTGTCAGTGATGATAATCGTTCCTTGCATGAATTCTTACCACACAGTGTTGGCTTTTCCTAACCTAAAATTTAGCACCTTCCTGAATGCTTTGGCCACGTACCTGTCCTAATCTCAGAAAGTGGTTGTGTTCTCAAGGTGTCGTATGCTCGCCCGAGCTCAGAGGTCATCAAAGATGCCAACTTGTACATCAGCGGGCTCCCTCGGACCATGACCCAGAAGGACGTAGAGGACATGTTCTCTCGGTTTGGGCGGATCATCAACTCACGAGTCCTCGTGGATCAGACCACAGGTACCAGAGGGGCCCGAGACGTGTGGGGAGGGTGTTCTCTAGGTGGGGGCTGGGTTTTCTAGGGAAGGCAGATCACTGTTTGATTTTAAATGTCATTAGTTATTCTGCAAATGAGGACAACACCAAAATGAGAAGACGTTGACTTTGGTTTGAGAAGGCTGAGGAGGTAAGATGGCATTAAAAGAAGCTGGAGATGGCTGGGCGTGGTGGCTCACGCCTGTAATCCCAGCACTTTGGGAGGCCGAGGCGGGTGGATCATGAGGTCAGGAGATCGAGACCAGCCTGACCAACATGGTGAAACCCCGTCTCTACTAAAAATACAAAAAATTAGGTGGGCATGGTGGTGGGCGCCTATAGTCCCAGCTACTCGGGAGGCCGAGGCAGGAGAATGGCGTGAACCCAGGAAGCGGAGGTTGCAGTGAGCTGAGATCATGCCACTGCACTCCAGCCTGAGTGACACAGCGAGACTCCGTCTCAAAAAAAAAAAAAAAAGCCGGGGATTAGGCCAGCGTTTCATGTATGGTGAAGACACCAAGAGATTCTAGCACCTTCCCTCAAGCACCGAAATGTCCTGGCCTTGCCCATGAACGGGGTGAAAAGGACACTGCAGGCTGGGTGTGGTGGCTCATGCCTATAATCCCAGCACTTTGGGAGGCCGAGGCAGATGGATCACCTGAGATCAGGAGTTCGAGACCAGCCTGGCCAACATGGTGAAGTCCCATCTCTACTAAAAATACAAAAATTAGCCGAGTATAGTGGCAGGTGCCTGTAATCTCAGCTACTCGGGAGGCTGAGGCAAGAGAATCGCCTGAACCCACGAGGCGGAGATTGCGGCCAGCCGAGATTGCACCACTGAGCTCCAGCCTGGGCAACAGAGCAGGATTCCATCTCAAAAAAAATAAAGGATACTGTAGCCAGGTGCGGTGGTGTGGGCTTGTCATCACAGCTGCTCAGGAGACTGAGGCGGGAGGACTGCTTGAACCCAGGAGTATACAGCTGTAGTGAGCCGTGATCATGCCACTACACGTCAGCCTGGGCAACAGAGCAAGATGCTGTTTCTTTTTAAAAAAAAAAAAAAAAAAAAGGCTGCTACACATTTGTCCACTGTGAATTTCATTGCAGGCCTTTGGGGTGCAGTAGTCTGATGGCCCAAATCCCCAGAATTCGGATGCCCTTCTCTGGGGAGCACATCTGAAATGCACAGAGCACATGGCAGTGAATTCCACTAATGGGCAGGCAATCCTGGCCACTTTGCTGGCCCTTCCATGCTGTCTTGCCATTGGACATGGGCACGGGGCTTTGTGTGACGCCATCAGGCAGAGATGAGCAGGGGACATGTGCACATCCACGGCTGTGCTCCGGCCCCACTTCCCGGCCCGCCTGCCGCACTAGGCTAGGAACTAGTGCACCACCACATCCTTTGCCAAGCCCTGCACGTGGCCCCGCCTGGGGGATGGGGAGCTCGGGCCACCCTGAGGGGATTTAGAATCGCTCAGCTCTGTTTGGGGCAGGAGCAGGAGTGTGCTGACCAACCAGGAGGGAAGAGTCCGCTCCCCAAGCCCAGTGAGGCCTGTGCGTTCGTTATATGGGTGGTTTTCATATTCCTCCCACACAGACTGTGCCCCACCTTGGCTGTGATGTTGAAATAACACCGAGTAGTCGGGCCACAGGAAGTCGTGCTCTGAGGTGACCTCTTTTCGAGAGAACAGCAGCACTCCCCCAACAGCCCAGAGCCTTTCATGTGCACACAGGTGGGGCCTTCCTGGCCTGCAGGCTGGAGGGGCATGCACATCGTCCTGCGTCCCCTGAGCTGCGTGCTTTGGGGTGGGCGGCCTTATCAGTCTCTCTCCCTCCTGGCCGGCTGTGGGAACCCCACCTGGCACGCACCGGCCCTGCTGCTGCCGGCCTTCCGTCCCGCTGGGGCCCGAGGAGGGGAAGGGCCCCTGTGCACTTCACAGGGGCTCTGGGGGCTGCCTGTAGCCTAGCACAGACTCGTGCCCTGGCACCCAGCAGTGCCGAAGGACGGGGCTCACTCGCACGGCCGCCTCTATTCTGTCTTCGCTCTGGGGAGAGGGTCGGGGGATGCCAGTTACTTGGTGTCAACTCTCCTGATTTGTACCAGAAGAATCTCCTGTGGTTCCTGAAGTCCCCTCACTTACTTTCAAGTGCTAGCTGAAAGAACGATCCTGTCGGTGGGCCAGTGTGTGGGTTCCTTGCCCCCCACTTTGCATTATGGCATCTGAACTGGCTGCGCAGGGCCCGGGGCTGGGGAAGCTGACCTCGCCGGCCCACAGTCCACTCTCCTCCTCCTCTAGAACCCACATGCACGGCTTTGCCTTGGCCTCTCTCTGTCCAGTACGTTCCTGATGATGGGAGCCTACACTCCACTTGGAGCCCCCAGTGCCTGAGAGCATGCCTCCAGCCACCCAACTCTCCCGGGGCCTTCCCTAGTCTCTCAGGCACACACAGGCCACAGGCAGGGGGAACTCACCTCTGCACACAGCTGCTGGGGGCATTGCTTCCTTTCCCTCTGCAAGGTAGTGTCTCCCAGGGTGTTGGGGGCACCTCAGTATCGCCCTCCAGGTCAGCTGTGAACCTCAAGGTGGCATAAGCAACCTTTGGCATCTTTGTAGAGGGGTGAAGGAGGCAGAGAAGGGAGCCAGGAGGGTCTCCCTGGCTCTGCTTCCCACCCCAGGGTGCAGAATTGGTGGGAAGGTGAGGCTCCCGTCCCAGGGCTATGGCTCCCTCTGCTGTGGACAGAGGGTGCCTGTTCCTGGGACCTCATGAGGCGCAAGGCGGACAGCAGGGAAGAGAAGTGTGTGGCAAACCAGCCTGTGTGGAGTTTGCCTTCCTGCGATGGGCTTTTCAGTGTTAAATAGACGAGGATGGCTGGGCGCGGTGGCTCACACCTGTAATCCTAATACTTTGGGAGGCCGAGGTGGGAGGATTGCTTGAGCCCAGAAGTTCAGAACAGCCTGGCCAACATAGCGAGACCCCAACTCTTTTTTAAAAAAAGAGAAAAAAATTCCATCTTGAGCTGAAACAGCTTAATTTTTTTTATTCCTTTGCTTCTGTATCCATCTTAATTGTGAACTTTATAGTGTATTCATCTGGAGATTATGCTGTTTCTTGGACTCTGTTGTTAAATTCTAAAAAACACAAGGGGGCTGGGCGCGGTGGCTCACGCCTGTAATCCCAGCACTTTGGGAGGCCAAGGCGGGTGGATCTCCTGAGGTCAGCAGTTCGAGACCAGCCTGGCCAACATGGCAAAACTCCATTTCTACTAAAAATAGGCCAGGCGCAGTGGCTCACGCCTGTAATCCCAGCACTTTGGGAGGCCGAGGCATGTGGATCACGAGGTCGAGAGGTCAAGACCATCCTGGCCAACATGGTGAAACCCTGTCTCTACTAAAAATACAAAAAATTAGCCAGGCTTGGTGGCAGGCACCTGTAATCCCAGCTATTGGGGAGGCTGAGGCAGGAGAATCACTTGAATCTGGGAGGCGGAGGTTGCAGTGAGCCGAGATTGCACTATTGCACTCCACCCTGGGCAAAAAGAGTGAAACTCCATCTCAAATAAATAAATAAAGTAAAATAAAATAAAATAAAAATTAGCCGGGCGTGATGGCAGGCACCTGGAGTCCCACCTACTTGGGAGGCTGAGGCAGGAGAATCACTTGAACCAGGGAGGTGGGGGTTGCAGTGAACTGAGGTCGTGCCATTGTACTCCAGCCTGGGTGACAGAGTGAGACTCCATCTTAAAGACAAATTAAAAATAAAAAACACTAGGGGAAGACAAAAAAAAAAAAAATGCAGAGCCATCTTCAGAAAGTATACATCCATTACATAATTGAGTGAATTGATATCCCCCTGTGTTAAACAGCATCGCTCCTGCCCCGCTTACTTGAGTTTTCTTCGTTTCACTCAGGCAGTTTGCGTTTGAAAGCCACTTGACAACACCAGAGGAGCCCACACTTGCACGCATGCCTTCTCTCCGCTGTGCTGCAAGGTCTTTAGAAACAGAATGAAGCCATCTGCTTGGAGCCAGCTTCCCTACGAGGCGGCCAGCGTCAACTCTCAGTCGTATTTGCCTAAAGTTAGATTTTCATTTAGGTTTCCAGGACTGACTAAGCTGTCATTCGTGTCGTGAGAGAGTCAAAGAAAACAGCGTCTGTCAGGGTTATGTTTTCAGGTGTTCCTTCTGAGCAGCAGCTCAGAAATGAGCTTGAGCCCCAGAATATTCCTGGCACATGTGTGTAGCGCTAGGTCTGACCTTACTAAGGCTGCTGTCTGTGTGCTCACGTGGGACCTGCAGTGTCGCGATTGTGGGGCAGCTGGTGGGACCCTCTGGGAAGTGGTGGAGTAAGGTGCCGGAAGAGACGTGGAGACAGGACATGGGGACAGTTGGGTGCCTGCTGGACAGGTCACCCACGGCTCCAGGCTGCCTGACTTTGGTCATTGTTCATTACCATGTGCCAGAGGCCTTTGCCTGGAGAAGAAACCTGACTTAAGACACCCTTTGACTGGAAGTCTTTCTTTTTCCTTAAGAGATGAGATCTTACTATGTTGTCCAGGCTGGTCTTGAACTCCTGGCTTCAGACGATTCTCTTGCCTTAGCCTCTGGAGTAGCTGAGACCACAGGCACTAGCCTTGGCCTGGCTTGACTAAAAGTCTTGAGAAGTAGGGTCTTTGGGTTGGGTTGTCTGCGGCCGTCTCTCCCACTGGGACACACCCACGACTCCCACCTAGTGACATCACTCTCAGACTGGCCCTCAGCTGTCACGTCTCCGATCCCCAGGCCTTCCCCTGACCCCATCGTGTCCTCGCTCCAAGAGAAGGAGCTAGTCCGCTGCTCAGTGTGCCCTCACCCCCATCCCCTCATCCAGTTCCCAGCCCGCTCCCCAGGTTCCTCAAGGGACGGGCTACTCATGTTTCCCTCCCGGGCCTAGCGTATGGATGGGCAGGGGTGGAGGACAGCCACGCTCTCCTTCCACCCGCCTTGCTCAGCGTCTCACACCAATGCTACCCACAGTAGGACTGGCCTCAGGTCTCACGCTGCCCCGTCCAGGGATTGGGTTCAGCCTAGAACCCGGGACTGGCCCTTGGGTGGCTCAGTTGAGGTAGCAAGAGAAGGTGCCCTCTGGGCTTGGCTGCTGGGGCCCTGGCCTTTCCCACACAGGGACCCCAGGCCTGCCTGGCGAGCCTGTGGATAGGTTCAGCTCTGCTGTGTGAGCCTGGGCAGTGTTCTGGCCTCATTTGATTCTGACGGCAATTTGGGGCCCACGGGAGGGTGCAGGACCTTAGAGTGGAGTATCCCAAGACAGGAGTGAGGTGACGGCAGCAGCACAGAGCTGGCAGGGGGCAGCCACAGGATCCCACTCCCTCCTGGCATGAAGGAGAGGGCATGCAGGCTGAGCTGGGCACCTTGGCAGGAGGCTCGGCCACGAGGCCTGCTGTCACAGTGGGCCCCAGAGCCCAGGGAGGAACTCTCAGACGCAGTCCCCACCCCGACCCTGTTACCCACCAACCCCACACACCCACTCTGTAGTGGGTATCTGGCGCTAAATAGTGACGGTGGATATGCTGTTTCCTAATGTTGCTTTCTTCCAAATAAGAGGCTTGGGTGTCTATTGGGGATGTCTGTCACCAAAATATCTTTGGGCGCTGACACCGTGGAGTCGTGGCTTCAGCCGGGAAGAAAGTCTGAAGTTTTAATCTTCTGTTAGTCATTGGTTTTCTTTACTCCATCCATTTCTTTTCACTTTTAGGTTAATTTTTGTTTATTTTCTTAACCAGACTTCCAGCCTGGCCCACAGTAGACTGACCTGACTTTTGCTTTTCAGTTTTGAAAGTCCTAGCATTTTTCCCCCTAACTCCGTTTTTGTTGGTTTGTTAAAAAGGTTTGTCCAGAGGGGTTGCGTTTATCCGGTTTGACAAACGGTCGGAGGCAGAAGAGGCAATTACCAGTTTCAATGGTCATAAACCCCCAGGTTCCTCTGAGCCCATCACAGTGAAGTTTGCAGCCAACCCCAACCAGAACAAAAACGTGGCACTCCTCTCGCAGCTGTACCACTCGCCAGCGCGACGGTTTGGAGGCCCCGTTCACCACCAGGCGCAGAGATTCAGGTGGGTCGGGAGGGTGCGCACTCCTGAAAGCCATACGTAGCCCCGCTGGTGGGCGACGGCACAGCCACAGAATAGAAACCACGGGGACGCTCGACTGATCCTGCCAGAGAGCACGTTTCAGAATCATTCTGCAGCTCCACATCACAATTTCATCAGAAAGGTGTCTGTAGGAAAGCCGTTTACTTCCGATGGGGCGTTGTCTTTCATGGGAATCAAAACAGTGACTCCAGGCTAGACACAGTGGCTCATCCCTGTAATCCTAGCACCTTGGGTGGCCAAGAGAGGAAGATCGATTGAGCCCAGGAGTTCAAGACCAACCTGGGCAATATTGTGAGACCCCATCTCTACAAAAAATACAAAACTGGCCAGGCATGGTGGTGCGCTCCTGTAGTTGCAGCAACTCAGGAAGCTGAGGTGTGAGGATTGCTTTAGCCCAGGAGGTTGAGGCTGCAGTGAGTTGTGATCATACCACTGCACTCCTGGGCCATAGAGCCAGACCTTTTTTTTTTTTTTTTTTTTAAAAAAAAGACGGCACCAGTCCCCACCAGTTGCTATGAGTGTGAGCGCTTAGAGCTTCAACACGCAGTTCCTAGTAACAGGAGAACGGAGCAGCGAGCTCTAAAGATGGTTTCATGCCCAGTGTCGGGGAGCACACACCAGTAATCTCAGCTATCAGGAGGCCGAGGTAGGAGGATTACTTGAAGCCCTGAGTTTGAGCAGCCTGGGCAGCAAAGTGAGACCCCCGTTCCTACAAAAAGTAATGAAAAAACGGCGTGGTGGTGCTGGCCTTTAGTCCCAACTACTCAGGAAGCCACGGCGGGAGGATCGCTTGAACCCAGGAAGTGGAGGCTGCAGTGAACTATGATTGCACCACTGTACTGCAGCCTGGGTGACAGAGTGAGACCCTGTCTCTAAAAAGTAAATGAATAATGAACGTCTCATATCTGTGGGAGGAAAGATGCTGCCTTAGGTATAGTCGGGTGAGAGCAGATCTTCCAGAGTTCCTAGACATGATCAGCAGCCCTAAGGCAAACTTTCTTCATACACCTGCCTTGTGCAGTCATTTGTATTGGTGAATGTTATCAGTATGCATTCTGTTTATGAGCCCTATCCTAGATGGGAGCAGTTTTCCCGGATTCCTTAGTCTTTCCATCCTGAAAATGGGTCTGGCTGCCAGGATGAAGTGGGATAGAGGTGATGAGAGTCAGGGCCTTGGACTCCAGGATCTGGTGTGCTGTTGCCTCAGAAACAGCAGAGGTCTCAGTGTCAGGGCTGTTTTGTTTCGTTCCTCAAGGAATGACATCGAGGGCTTATCTCAGGTATGACAAGGACAGATAACCCATTTTTTAATTTTTAATGTTTTTATTTTTTGTTGAGATGGAGTCTCACTATGTTGCCCAGGCTGGTCTTAAACTCCTAGCCTCAAGTGATCCTCCTACCTCAGCCTCCCAACGTACTGGGATTATAGGCGTGAGCCCGGACCCATCGTTGTTTTAACAGTGAGGCTGGGTGGGCGCTGCCACACATGCTGCTGTGAGAGGTGTTATTCTCATGGCTGTGTTACTCAGCATTCTCCGCCTGGTTCAAATTCCAAAGCTGGCCTGCCTGCCTTGAGGTTTCTGGGTTGAAGACAAGGCTGGAGAAGCTTCTCTGGACAGAATGGAACTGAATTTTAAAATCCAGCTGTAGGAATCCCACCATACAGTTGGCACTGCTCTTGACGGGGCGGGCTATATGGGCAGTGGCGTTGGGTGAACTGCTCCTTAGCCTGGAAGGAAGACAGGGAAGGTTGGAGGAGGAGACATGGGACTCTGGTCCTGGTAATGAGGACGGGAAAAGAAAGGGGAAACCAGAGGAGTGGACATTTCTGGTCGAGCAGGAAAGTGAGTGGCAGGGCAACCACCAAGACAAAGTTATGGAAGGAAGTGGGGAGGGCGGGAGAGTCTAGAGGGAAAGATCTGCTCAGGAGGCTGAGAGAAGAGGAGGAAGAAAGACCCAGACTGCAGGGAGTTTGCCGTCAGTCCCTATCACGTCCAGAAAACCCCGGAGAATTGGGTTGGAGGAAAAGAGAGATTTATGACTGTCAAGACCAGAGAAATCAGCAGGAAAAAAACTACCAACAAGAGTAATTCTTAAGAAGGCCGGGCGCATTGACCCACGCCTGTAATCCCAACACTTTGGGAGGCCAAAGCAGGAGGATCACTGGAGCCCAGGAATTTGGGACCAGTCTGGACAACATAGACCGTCTCTACAAAAAATGTAAAAATTAGCCCAGTGTGGTGGCACACACCTGTGGTCCCAGCTACTCAGGAGGCAGGAGGATCACTTGAGCCTAAGAGTTTGAGACCATACTGGACAACATAGTGAGACCCTGTCTCAAAAAAAAGAAAAAATCACCCTTGGGCTAGTGAGCTGCCCCGTGGGAGCTGGTGTCCTCTTGTGTCTGTTGAGAGGGTGAATCTGTTTAATGGCACTTGAAGGCACTCACTTACCTTAGCTAATAGGGCCATAGCCTGAAGCCCAGTTTTATTTTGGAGCAGGAAATCCTTCTCTGCATGCATCGTGCGGCTTCACAGATGCTGTCTTCACAGATATACGGTACTCAGATATTCCCAAACTGACCCTCAGACTTTTACTTTTTTAATTTGAGAAAGTTCCAGAGGGAAGCATGGCTTTAGGAACTGTTTTGTCATCTATCTTAATCCTTATTACGGCATCTGTACGTTTTCAGAAGGCTTTATTTTCGTTTAGTTTGGTTTTAGTTTGATGAGGTTTTTGTTTGTTTTTTTCCTAGCGATGGGGTCTCTCTGTGTTGCCCAGGCTGGTCTCAAACTCCTGGCCTCCAGTGATCCTCCCACCTTGGCCTCTGAAAGTCCTGGGATTCCGGGCTTGAGCTACCACGCCTGGCCCAGAAAGGCTTTTTTTTTTTTATGTAAATAAAAGTATCACTGTGGAAAGAGCCCCACGTGTGTGGTCAAGTTTGGTGAGCCTGCAGTTGCTGGCGTCCCAGGGCCCTTCCCTGTCCCTTGAGTTCTCAGCCCTCAGTGGTTTGGCCCCTGGCCCTCGTGGGATGTTGAACTGCAGCCACAGAAGGTTGGTTGCCTGGTGCGTGGGAAGGAATTCTTGGGCCCTACAGTGGCCCTGGCAAAGGCATGCTCTAACCAAAGACCACTGGGCTATGAACCCTTGGGGGTGGGTCATGATGAGGGGAAGGTGCGAAATCTGGAAAAAGGAGTTCAGCCCCTGCACGTACCCCACAGTACGAGGAGAGTTTCCTCCAGGGAGAGCTGAGGCTGTCCGCGCCTGCAGAGCGTTTCTACCCTCAATGGAGGACCCGGAGAAGCGCCCATCATCTAAAATGTGGGGAACCGCAGGAACCCCTAAACAGAAACCCCCACATACACAGTGGGAGGAGTGGAGGTCACCAACCAGCCCCTCAGAGTCAGCTCCCTATAGAACAGGGTCCTGCCCCTCCATTACCGTATTTAATTCCTCCCAGTTTAAAACAATGTCATGGTTTTAACCCATGCAGGTGTCTCGACTGTGAGCACCTCGTGGCTGCGCAGAGCGGGATGGGGCCCAGCGGCCATGGTCAGCATGTGTCCAGGCCTTGCCCCATCACCAGGCCGCCTGCGCTGACCGTGGCCTGACGCTTGCTCTCTGTCCGCCAGGTTCTCCCCCATGGGCGTCGATCACATGAGCGGGCTCTCTGGCGTCAACGTGCCCGGAAACGCCTCCTCCGGCTGGTGCATTTTCATCTACAACCTGGGGCAGGACGCCGACGAGGGGATCCTCTGGCAGATGTTTGGGCCCTTTGGCGCCGTCACCAATGTGAAAGTGATCCGCGACTTCAACACCAACAAGTGCAAAGGGTTTGGCTTTGTGACCATGACAAACTATGAAGAAGCTGCGATGGCCATAGCCAGCCTGAACGGCTACCGCCTGGGGGACAAGATCTTACAGGTTTCCTTCAAAACCAACAAGTCCCACAAATAACTCGCTCATGCTTTTTTTTTGTACGGAATAGATAATTAAGAGTGAAGGAGTTGAAACTTTTCTTGTTAGTGTACAACTCATTTTGCGCCAATTTTCACAAGTGTTTGTCTTTGTCTGAATGAGAAGTGAGAAGGTTTTTATACTCTGGGATGCAACCGACATGTTCAAATGTTTGAAATCCCACAATGTTAGACCAATCTTAAGTTTCGTAAGTTATTTCCTTTAAGATATATATTAAACAGAAATCTAAGTAGAACTGCATTGACTAACCAGTCCCTCTGGATGGTGGTGAACCTGAAGCATGCTTTAACCTCTAAGACTGTCTAACACGCGTTTCATTCAATGTCTCCACAGACTGGGTAGCAAAAAAAATCACCTTTTAGTTTTAGTTTTTAATCTAAACATGTTAGACAGATGCTGAGTGTGCGTTTTCTCAACCGCTTCAACATTGTAAGCGATGTATGCTTTGGTTGACAGGAAGTTCCTTTTCCAGGCAGGTCCCATTGCCACCTCCTGCTCACTCAGTCCCGGGCTCTGCCAAGTGGTCCTGGGAATGGCGGTGGGCCCGTCCAGCGTGGGCCACCACTGGGGCCGGGGGCCGCATGCCGGGCGGGCCCTCCAGAGAAGGACACAAATGTGTTTCGTAAGCCCAGGCACCAATGGGAATGGACCAAAGAGTTTCAGGGAAACTCCAGTATATTCCAGAGTTAGATCTAAGCTCCAGGCACGCCTGAAGATGTGTTGCTACTCTGACGCCCCGAGTTTCTGTCCACACATTGCATGCACAGCGCCCCACACATTGGATACTGTTGTTCCACGATAATTTCTCCCGTTTTCCAGAGCATTTAACATAGCTTGGAGGCGTAAGATGGCTCTGTTTTTTAATAACACAGAAACATTTGAGCATTGTATTTCTCGCATCCCTTCTCGTGAGCGCTTAGACCTTTTTCTATTTTAGTCGCATTTTGTTTTGGAATTTTGCTTTTGTATGAACACTCAGCAGAAAAGTACTTACTTCTTGCCAGTTATCTATTAACCAAAACCTTTGATTTGTAGTTTTAAAGATTAACCCTCAAAGTTCTCTTCATAACTGCCTTGACATTTTGGGTTGTTCTGTTCTGTTAATTTTCTTTTGCTTTTTTGTGTTTTTTGTTTGTTTTTACTTTTGCATTTAAGACCATTAAATTTGATTTTGTTTTGCTCGAATTTTGTTTTGTTTTTTATTTTACCTTTTCTTTCTTTTTGGCTAGGGAAGGTGCAGGCGGCCCAGCATTCAGGGAGGAGTCGTAAGATCTTAAGAAACCAATACTTGCCTCAAGCAAAAGCATTTCTGAATATGTGACGCAGGAATGTGCAGTTACAGGCTGGTGGCTTTTAAACTGGGAGCCCGAAGGAAGGGTGAAAGAGAAAGCCTGTGAAATAGGCAGGGCCAGATCGCCCAAAACTCCTCAGGACTGGGATCTGGCATTTATAAATAACTAGTATACAGAGAGAATCACAAACAGGATAACTTAGTACCAGCAGTTTTTAACCTTGACGTGAGACTAAAACGTGACCGTAGGCTGTTTTTTAGTTATTGCTCTCATGAGATGACGGCTGTATTTATCTGTTTATTTATACCGATCTATTTATTTATTTATTTATTGAAGTGGGAAATGGAGCAATAGGCAGGCACCACTGTCCCCAGAGCAGGTCAGCGTCTCTAGAGGCCCCTGGACAACTGAGGATGCCCATCCCCTCCCCTTTCCCTGATCTTTTACCAAGGGGCTGTGTGCGCGATCCTTGCAAATTGATGATGTTGCCATCTGTACCCAGGCCACGTCTCATAAAAGTCGGCCTGGTGCCAGAGAGAGGACCTCCTTTCTCCCACAGAATCCCAGATCCTCAGGAAAAGCCAAAACCGAGGCCCGTTTGCCCAGATTCGACACAAAAGAGGGTCCCTGCTCTGTTGCCGGAGAGCAGTCTCCACCCTGGGACCAGAATGTTTTCCTGGAAAAAGAAGCCTTTCAGGTTTCCCCAGGCCAGCATCTTCAGATGGAAGGTGGGAGCCAGCATCTTCTGATGGAAGGTGGGAGCCAGCATCTTCTGATGGAAGGCTGGATTCCCGCTTCTGAAACTCCCCTTGGAGTCTCACTGCCATACATGCCCGTAGCTAGCATTCAACAGAGAACTCTGTCTTAAGCTTCAACTGTGAAAATGATGACGGGCTTGTAGCCAGCACCTCGGCTTCTTTCCTCGCCCCTTTTTATCTGAATCCTATCAGTTGTTCTGATACTGGGACAGGTGAGAAGAAACTGTGAAGTGTATGAGCCTTTGAGAGTTCCCTGAAGTTTCTCAGTTCAGGAACATTCTCATTGTACGTGGTCTCCACTGTTTGAACAGCCTTCTAGCTAAAAAAATTCCAATGCCTTTATTTGGGAGTCTTAACTTGCAAGCTTGTGGAAGGATTTAGCTTTTGAACTGTCACTCCTGAAAAGCAATCTCCGTTCCCATCAAGGTTCTAGTTGCCGGCCCTGTGCCCTCAAAGTTCATTACATCTTGCCAAGGCCTGTTTGCAAAGGGGAGATCCCTTTTCTTTAAAAAGGCACAACTCAAAAGAAACCATTTCTTTAAAAATTTTACGTAGATGAGTCGTATTTATAGTTAACAAAAATGAGTGCTCTCCTTTTATTTGGGAATTTCGATGAAAAAGTGTTCAGAGTAGATAATGTTCATTTATCAAAAATCTGGTTTGGGAAATACCAAAGAGGCTTTGATTGAATTCCCTTTTGACCTGTGTGTAACTTCCTCTGGTAGTTAGACCCCAGGCAACTCCGAATTTGTGAACCTGCTTCCTGATGAATTCTCCCTTGTTCCCCCTTGGCTTTGCCATTATTTCGTTTTCAGTGTGATTTGCCAAGCCACAGTTTTCTGTGCTGGCTGTGCCTCTAGTCACAGCTCTGTGACTGATTCCCTCCCGGGTGCTGAGTCCTCTCCTTGGCCACTATCCTGCGTGAATATCCTGAAATTCATGGACTTCCTCAGGGGCCTGCCCGCAGGTGGTGCTGGGTGGGTTCCACCACCTTCTCCTGGAAGGTGAACCTTTTCCTGGCCAAGGGCAGCTGCCTTAACCTCTGAGAGTCTGCGCTTGGCCTTAGTCCTGGAGACCCAGTCTCCAGGGACTGAATCGTGCTGCTGTCGGGAGCCAAGGCCGGCCCTTTGGAGCTGGCAGCCCAGCGGTCCCTGCTGGATCAGAGAAATAGAAGCACCCGAAGACGGTTAGTGGCAATTCCTTGACCAGTTTGCTTCCAAACGAAGGCCATTTGTCCACCAGGCATTGAAAAGACATGACTTAACCAGTCCGGCATCGGACTTGAAAATCGAAATTGACATCACTCAGCTGTTACATTTCACATCCCATTCAGCCCGGTTTTATTTCCATGTGCTTTTCGCAGCCTTCCTGTGTTGGATGAAAGAGAATAAGAATTCAGCTGACAGGAGGCCTCTATCGTCTGTCCCTCCACCCCTCCCTCCACCTCAATCCCCTCCCATCTTCCCCAGACCTACCTCACCTACTAGGACCTGAGGCAGCTCCTTAGCAGAGACCCCTGGGGTTCAGCAGACTCTGGGGGTCAGGGAGTCCTGTCCCCAAACTTCCCAAGACAGCCCTGAAGTCACAAGTGCTTTTTTTTTGAGTGGCATTGGCAATTGGCATGTAACGATGGCAGTAGAATCTGAATCTCGGATCCCAGGCAGGGTTCACGTTTCCAAACCTTTTGATTTCCCCTGACTTCTAATGGCCGGATCCTATTTTTCTACCTTTCAGTGACATCATTCAGGTTTTTTTCTTGGCCATTTAAAAAAAAGCTTTTTTTTTTTTTTTTTTCTCGCTTGTAAGTCACCGCCAGTACGTAAGTTTGGCTAACGGAGACTTTGACAGGACTGGATTTTTCTTCCACTAGAAGAGAAGGCTTTTCCGTTGGTTTGGGGCCACCTCTTTGACCATGACCATGTGATGTTCCGTTTACAGTGACTTGCTTTGGGGGAGGGGAGGCTCTCTTAACCGATTCCCATGTTGTACAGTAGATGGTTAGACCTTTTGTATATTAGTGTGTTTTAAGTTATTGATTTGTTTTATATAAAATAATTTATTTTTCAGGTGCCATTTTTCATTTTAACTTTGTTTTTACATGGGTTTGTTTTCAATAAAGTCTGACACTGGTGTCCAAAAGTCAACAACAAAATGAATCCCATTGTGTTCTTTTGAAGATGCTTATGTAACTTTTAAGTTTTTTTAATTATTTTCAGAAAAAAAAAAAAAAAGAAAGAAAAGCCCTTACCGGTTTTCCATCAGCCCATTGCCTTTTTATTTTTATTTTTAATCCTTGTGAATAAATGTTCTTTAGTGTTTTAGGAGGAAAAAGCAAACCTAGATTTTGATAACCCAGAAGACTTCAGATTAATAAAGAAACTTTGAAAGAAGACCATTTTTCAAAATTTTAGTGAAGTGTGAATATTTTTTGTCAATGGCTTTCTCAAAGAGAATGAAACTTTTGCACCATTTTCAGAGTTTTTATAGAGATGCCAAATTGATATATTTACATGTAATGGAAACATGAAAAAGTTTTATTAAACAATTGTTCATAGCTGTGTAGACATTTTAATTCAGTTTCCAAAGCTCTCAAAAAAGCGTATTTTTGAAGTACGGAGTGATGCGGTTTGGGGCGTGGCTTACAGTTCCAAACGACTCAATTGTCCGGATACTCAGTTCTTTCTGCAGGTATCAGGTTCGTGTTAAACGCTGTATGTTAACTATGACTGGAATTCTGTGATATTTTGGTAATAAATGAAGTGGGATCATTGAGATGTGCTGGTGTAGGGGTGATGGTGTGTCACTTGTGAGCAGCCCACAGCCCAGTAATAGAGTGCTAGGGGATGGGGACCTCCTCCCTCCAAGGTAAGCCTGGGCCAGGCCCCGGGAGCCCACGAGGGGACACCCAGTTCGGGTGTGCCCTGTGCTGGCTCACCCATGGCCCTTCAGCTCCCACCCAGATGCCCCTCTTCTCCAGGTTCACAGGTCGGTGGGCCCACTGAGTAGCCCCTGGATATGGCCCCCCTCCGTCTGCTTCCCACACCAGTGCTCCCTGAACAGTGACCCGGGGATCCAGCCTCTTCCCCCGTCTGTATGTGGAACCATAGTCACTCCCGAGCCCTGGGACCATCCTGAGTGTCCCCTCCGTGAGACTGATCTCCTTTGGGATGGGAATGGTTAGGGGTCTCAAGGTCAGAGAGTCCAGGTTCAAATCCTGGCTCTGACACCACTCCCCAGCGTGTGACCCGGGGGAAAGTCTCTGGCTCTCTGAGTCTCCGCTCTACCCTCTGTGAAATGGGTCCACGCTGCCCATCCCCTCCAGATCCTCAGGAAAATGAGATCAAGTAGGAATGGTGACAGTTGCTACCAAGACTCTGCCAAGGACTGGATGGTCGCGCTTAGCACTCGGAGAGTTGAGCTAACGTAGTCCCACGGGCGGGCTTCTCGGAAAGCATTTACGGAGCCCATTTTCAAGTTGCTAGTTTCTCTATTGCTTGTGCGTCTTGTGGGTCTGCGTTCACCATCTTCTCTTCCAGATGATCCCTCGGCTTCCGGGAAAACTTCGTGTTATCCGACACCACCTGGGGCCAAAGGGCCAGGGCTGTGCTCCAGCCAGAGTCCTGACAGTGCTCAGGGCTGTCCCTGAGGTGTTCAGAGCCCAGGGGCTGACAGCTGGGGCTCCAGGGGCCTCTGGGCAGCTCCCACTGGCTCAGGCTAGTGGATCTCCTGACCACCCAACCTGTGAACCCAGGAGAAGGGGTCTGGGTGTCTGCACCTCCCAAACTTAAGAATGCATCTGCCTCCCATGGGGGAGCATCGTTTCAAAGCAGATTCAGCTTCTGCAGGTCTGGTGCGGGCCTGGGAATCTGCATTTCTTTCTTCTCTTTCTCTTCTTTCTTTCTCTTTTCTCTCTTTTCTTTTTTTTCTCTTAAGACAGAGTCTCATTCTGTTGCCCAGGCTGCACTGCGGCAATCTCGGCTCACTACAACCTCCACCTTCTGGATTCAAGCAATTATCCTGCTTCAGCCACCCGAACAACTGAGATTACAGGCCCACGCCACCATGCCCGGCTAATTTTTGTATTTTTAGTAGAGATGGGGTTTCACCATGTTGGCCAGGCTGGTCTCAAACTCCTGACCTCAGGTGATCCACCCGCCTCAACTTCCCAAAGTGCTGGGAGTACAGGCATGAGCCACGGCGCCTGGCCTGAGAACCTGTATTTCTCCTGGGCGACGCCAGTGTCAGAGACTCACCTCGAGAAGCAAGAAGTTTAGAGGAGTCCCCTATGTGGGACGAACCTTAATGAAACCTGACAGCCCCCATCTCCACCTCTGCTCCAGGGATGGCTTCCATCCCCGCCTCACCCCAGAATTCAGAGCCAGAGAGGCCCAGCCCCAAGCGAGGCCCCTGTGCATGGCAGGCAACACTCAGGTTCCACCGGACCTCTCCAGACCTCCGCCTTTCGTGGGGGCTATTTCCATTGCTCCCTTCAAGGGCAAGGGTCTGAGGCCTACATCCTTTTTCCCTTGGGCTTCATGTGTGTGTATTTCAACCTCAGTAGTTTCTTAGCACAATTTAAAAGGATTTCTGGAAGAGAAGGAGAAACTGACACCTGTGTTGTCCGGAGAACCACAGTTTGTGTTTAGTAATACGAGTCCTGACATGAGAGTGTTTTCACCGGGGGACGAGGGGCAGGGAGAGCGTGGGTTCCCTCCCACCTCAGGGGGCGAGGGACGAGGGAGAGCGTGGGTTCCCTCCCACCTCCTTAGAGCCTGAGGAGTTCTCAACAACCTGTCCTGAGAACTGGTATGAGGAGGGAGGATCGCCTGAGATCAGGAGTTCAAAACCAGCCTGGGCAACATCATGAGAGTCTCTCTCTACAAAACATGTAAAAATGAGACGGGGCACGATGGTTCACGCCTGTAATCCCAGCACTTTGGGAGGCTGAGGTGGGTGGATCACTTGAGGTCAGGAGTTCAAGACCAGCCTGACCAACATGGTGAAACCCCATCTCTACTAAAAATACAAAAATGAGCTGGGCATGGTGGTGTGTGCCTGTAATCCCAGCTACTCGGGAGACTGAGGCAGAAGAATCGCTTAAACCTGGGAGGTGGAGGGTGCAGAGCGCCCAGATCATGTCACTGCACTTCAGCCTAGGTGACAGAGCAAGATGCTGTCTCAAAAAAAAAAAAAAAAAAAAGAAAACCCGACCGGGCACGGTGGCTCACGCCTGTAATCCCAGCACTTTGGGAGGCCAAGGCGGGTGGATCACGAGGTCAGGAGTTCAAGACCAGCCTGACCAACATGGTGAAACCCCATCTCTACTAAAAATACAAAAATTAGCCACGCGTGGTGGGGGTGCCTGTAATCCCAGCTACTCGGGAGGCTGAGGCAGGAGAATCGCTTGAACCCAAGAGGTGGAGGTTGCAGTGAGCCGAGATTGCGCCACTGCACTCCAGCCCGGGCAAAACTCCGTCTCAAAAAAAAAAAAAAGGAATTTCAAAATAGCAACAGAAAGCATTAACCCAAGCGGGGGGTGGGCCCTTGAGCACCTGCCAACCTCCCCTCACTCCCTCCGCCTCCTGGGCAGCCTCCTCCCTCCCCTCCCTCCGCCCCCGCCCGGGGTCCCTCCCGGCAGCTGCTGAAGGCCCTGGCTGGGAAATTCTCTCCCAGATACCTGAGGCAATCGAGTCTCCGCTCAGAACTTTTCAGTTCATCTTAGGACTTCTTGTAGACCGTGGCCTTTCACCTTCATTGCAAGGATGGCATTTTGTCAGTTTGGTTTTCTCACGGTAAGGGATGTTAATGCTGAGGGATGGTGGGGGAAGAGGAAGAGGAGGAAAGGGAGGAGGAGGAGGAGAGGAAGGAGAAAGGAGGGGGAGGAGAGAAGGGGAGGAGAAGCAGGAAGGAGGAGAGGGAGGAGGAGGATGAGAGGAAGGAGGAGAGGAGGGGGAGGAGAGGGAGGAAGGGGAAGAGGAGGGAGGGGGGAGGAGGAGGAGGAGAGGGAGGAGGAGGGGGAGGAGGACAGGTAGGAGGAATGGAATGGCAGCCAGCCCAGGACCTGTGGAATGAGTGGGGCCTGGGTAAGGAGAGGAAATTGCAGCTGAGAGAGCCAGCGCGTGGAGGGAGGAGAGGGAGCAGGCCTGGATAAGGCCACTGAATCAGGCTCCCTTCCAGTTGATGGAACCCAGGATAAGAGATTGGGGGAAGGGTGCACCTAGGAAGGGGCAGTTGACAAGGGGATTTGTGACAGGACAGGCCCCAGTGCCCCAGTTTCTATCAAGTCAAGCCTCATGGAGACAGGCCTGTGGGTCCTCAGCGAAAGCCACGCATCCCCCAACCCACAGCACGTGGCCGGCCACTGGCCAGCGTCAAAGAGCTGGGGAAGTCGAGACCGTGGAAATAGCCTGTGATGGACCTGGGACCTCTCAGGAGAGATGCCCGAACCCCCCCCGCCGCCTAGTAGGGCCGAGGGCCTCCGGAAAGTCTGGAATCCAGGCAGGAGGAAATGATGCCTTGGCCACACCCAGTTTTGAATTTTTTTTTTTTTTTTTTTTTGAGAAGAGAGTCCTCGCTCTGTCACCCCAGGCTGGAGTGCAGTGGCCGGATCTCCGAAGCTCACTGCAAGCTCCGCCTCCCAGGCTTTATGCCATTCTCCTGGCCTCAGCCTCCGATAGCTGGGACTCACGCTATGTTTTTTGTAATTTTTCAGTAGACGACGGGGTTTACCGCGGGTTAAGCCAGGATGGTCCTCGATCTCCTGACCTTGTGATCCGCCCGTCTCGGCCTCCCCAAAGTTGGCTGGGATTAAAGGCTTGACCACCGTGCCCGCTAGTTTTGAATTTTTTTTTAGAGACAGTGTCTCACACTGTGTCACCCGGCTAGAGTGGACTCATCATCGCTTCACTGCAACCTTGCCCCATCCCAGGCCAAGCGATCC